ACTAAAATCCAAGTCCTATTATAGTACATGGATTGAAGTTCTTCCTGCATGGCTTTCATCCACTCATTAGACTTAGAGCACTTCATAGCTTGTTCAAAGTTATCAGGAACTAACTGTTTAACTACCTCAGCAACAATCAACACAAATTCAGCAAGAGTAGAGAAATATCTTTTATTAAGAATAATAGTTCTAGGTTCTCTGTCTCTAACCAGTTGATAGTCAGCTAAATTTGGTGTGTTATGATTATAAGTGTCATTATTATCAACATGCACATCATTAGTAACAGTAGTGTTAGTTAGTTCATGCACAATGGTAGTATGAGAACCAGAGTTACTACCTTGTGAGTCTGAGCTCACTACTACCTGTACACCTCCATTGAGGTCATCTTGTTGGTCTGTATCAGACTCTGCATAATCATTTGCTGCATTGTGGAAGATTCCACTATGGTCCTCTTTGTACAAAGAGTTATCATCATTCAAAGATTCAAAGAATTTTCCATCAGAAGCATCTGCACACTTACTCAAGGCAGTATCAGTTCTTTTTAAAGGAAAATCACGTTCATTGAAAGTAACATCTCTGGATACAATACACTTATAAGCCCCTGGTTGTAAAACCAGTAGCTTATAGCCTTTAACTCCATCAGGATAACCTAACATTACACATTTTAAGGCTCTAGGTTATAATTTACCTTGAGAAACATGGGCATAGGCTGCACACCCAAAAGGCCTTAAATGAGAAATGTTTGGTTTAATCCCAGACCACATTTCCGGTGGAGTTTTAAAACTGATCACAGAAGACGGGGATCTGTTAATTAGGTATGAAGCAGTAACCACTGCCTCACCCCATAGGGAATTTCCAAGGCCTGAACTGATGAGCATACACCTTTCCTTTTCAAGCAAGGTTCTGTTCATCCTTTCAGCAGTGCCATTCTGCTGAGGATTACCAGGGACAGTAAGTAACCTTTTAACCCCTTCATTTTTGCAAAAAACATTGAATTCATTATTGCAGAACTCAAGGCCATTATCAGTTTTCAAAGCTTTTAGTTTAAAATTGAATTGAGACTCAACCAATATATTCCAGTTTTTAAAATTCTCAAAGGTTTCATCCTTAGTTTTTAATAAGAAAACCCACACCTTCCTGGAAAAGTGATCAACTAGAGATAGAAAGTATTTCCTACCTCCAGTTGTGCTCACTTTAGAGGGTCCCCATAAATCAGAATGAACCAATTCTAAGGGAGCAGAAGCAGCATAAGATGATTGTTCAAAAGGATGCCTAGTTTTCTTACCAAAAACACAGTTTTCACAAAAAACAAGGTTTTCAGGTTTAAAGTCTAAAAATCCAGTTTTAAATAGCTTATTCAAACCCACATTCCCAATATGACCCAATCTGTTATGCCAAATTTCAGTTTGCTTTTGAGTGGTACTATTGTCAACCGAAGCAGCTAAGTTAAGTTCAAGGGAGCAATTAACTAACTAAAGTCCCCCACTTTTATTAGCTTTAATAAGGTCATTTCCATTTCTGGAAACAGCCTTATATCCATCTTGTGTATTAATAGTGCAACCCAGATCATCAAAAACAGATTCAGATAGTAGATTCCTTCTTAAGAAGGGAACCCACCTAACATTTTGGATAACCCTTACAACCCCATCAAACATCCTCAGCGAAACATTACCAACACCTTTGATATCAAGGGCAGTATTGTCTCCTAACATGACCTTTCCCCCATCATATAGAGTCAGGGAGGAGAAGTAGGCCTTGTTAGGAGTGACATGTAATGTACACCCAGAGTCTAAAATCCATTCATCATTCAAAGAAGATCCAGAACAAACAAGCAATTCATGTTGAAAAACATTTGCAGATTCTGTGTTAGGAGTAGGGTTAGGATTGTTCTTGTTATCATCTTGTTTATCCCTTTTCTTTTTCCTACAGTCTCTTGCAAAATGTCCTTCTATGCCACAGTAGTGACACTTGAAGATTTTCTTTTCAGAATTATCCTTATCAGTTTTATTCTTCTTCTTTGAACTGTTCTTTTTATTCTTTGGTTTCCCTTTAATAACTAGGGCCTCATTTTTAGGCTCAGTTTTCTCAGTATTAGAGGGATTAAATTTAGACTTAAAAACTTTAAGGGATTCATTCTTCTCAAGTATAGCATCAGTGATCTTACCAGGGGTGAGATCATCATTAGAATACTGGATGACATCCTTAAAGTTATCAAACTGGAGTGGTAAAGAGTTTAACAGAATAACAACTTGACGGGTGTCTTTTATCTTTTCATCTACCTTTTCAATTTCTTGAGTCAATTTCAGAAAATTATCCAAATTCTCAGACAAAGACACAGAAACATTCATTTTGAAGGTAAACAGCCTACAGAGCAGAGGGATCTTTCTAGACATAGATTTTTTCATATAAGTGGACTCAAGGGTATCACATAACACTTTAGGGTCAGTGATTGTGGAAAATTTTCTAGCCACATTGTCAGACAGATGGATAATCAATTCAGAATATGCAGCATTTTTTAGTTCAATCAGATCAGAACTAGATACATTGGGAACAGTATCAGAAGAGACAACTACAAAGCATTTCTGCTTCATCAGGAGAGCTTTCATCTTAAGCTCCCACATGGGAAAGTCACTGGTACCATCAAAGATGCGAATCTTGATACCAGTGTCAGACATGTTTGTAGGTTAAGATCAAGATACAAATCAATAATAGCAACAGAAGGCAATCAGACAAGAACTAAATGCAATCAAGATTCGAACAGTTTTGAGCTAGGGTTTCAGGATCGAAAAACAGTAGACCGAAAAATTAGGGTTTCTTGAAAAAACTCAATCAAATCAGAAATTTAGATTAGGGTTTCAAGAATCTAATTTTAAAAGTTCTGATACCAATTTTGTTCTCATACTATATCAATAGTCACAGTCAAAATACCGGATTCAATCTTCAAGTTCAAGCAAAACAGAAATTAAAGGAATGAACACATGATATGTTGACCCAGTTCGGAAAAATTCTACTCTGCGGGGTTTCAACAGGGGAAACCGGTCCCAAGAATCCACTAGCTCAGAAAAGTTTGAATACACAGATGGTTGTTAAGCAAGATCAGAAAATAATACGATCTAACACACAAGAATCAGCCAAAACACAAGCAATACAACAAAAGTAGTAAAAGGAATAGAAATAACCGAACAAAGCTTCCAAAACCCAGGTGTGAGCAGATTCTTGGAGTCGAACCAACATCCCAGCGTTTAAGCTTCACTACACGATTGATTTATAACCTTTCTCAGCTTAATATGGCCTCAAGTGATGTAGAATCGAACGAACAGAAAAAACCAGAGGTTTCTCACTCATTCAACGCATAAGCTCTCAGAATCACATCTCTATGGTTAGGGTTTCAAAATGACGCAAAGATGTCTCCAGAAGGGAGGAAGGAGACGTTTTATATGCGAATCAAATGAGCTGGGTCAAATAAGGAGAACCGGACTGGACTATCACAAAAACAGACCCAAACCATATTGGAAAAGACTGAAACGGGCCAGACCAAAAAATTATTTTCTAATCTTGCTTTACCTTCGAGTATAAGCATTAAAGCATCATGGAGAATACAACTAGAATTAGGATTACAAATATAACAGATTCTTTGAATTTGACTCGCAATGCTGAGGGCGGGAGAGCTTGTTATTGCTTAATTCATTGGCATTAATTAATATAGGAGCTGTTCTATTATAAGCTTTTTGTTTATCCCGGAAGACAAACCACCAAAATCAGTGGGGTAAATGCCGGGAGTCAGATACCGGAATTTTAATAAAAAGCTGAGTACAAGAAAGAGGGGGACTAAGCCAATACATCTTCAAACAAAGAATAAAAAATCCAAGATAAAACAAAAACCTTAATATCTGAATGATGGAATGCCAAATAAGTCCATTAAGTAGGCCCGCTTGACAAAATGCGGAAGCTGGTCTGGGCTTGAGAAATAAGTGAAGTGGGCTGCCTGCAAATCAGCCAGATAATGGGCAGTCCAATTGCCTTCCCTGTACGTATGTCCGAAGCCTACTTTATTCCTTCACGTCATCAGTATCATTTCCTGAATGATATCCGGCCATCTTCTCGACTCTCTACCGGTAAGATAAGCCAAAGCCAACAAACAGTCAGATTCAACCTGAAAGTCAGCAAATCCTTCCTCCACCGTCCATCGAACCGCATAAGCAATAGCCTTAATCTCAGCATCCACCGGCGAAGAAGCTTTAAGGGGAAAAGCAATGGCTCCCAGTAGAATTCCATGCGAGTCACGCATAATAGCTCCTCCAGCAGCTCTATCAGATAAGTAACAAGCATCAATGTTTAATTTGTTCTTTTGTTTAGATTTTCGCCATCGAATAATCTGAACCCTAAAACCTGATAGTTTATAGTTCCTAGGAATCAGACGCTCCTCAAACAAAATTGAACCAACCGATCGAATTCTCAAATTAGGAAAGCTAGCTACCCAATTCTGTGCATACAATTTCATCTGCATGATAATATTGCTAGTTGTTGGAATTGGGCCTCCATACCCCCATACCTGGTTCGAGTAAATCTTCCAAAAATGCCAGCTAGTTATTCCAGACAAATTTTGCTTGAAAATGTCCACCAAACTTTTACTCCCTGCTTTAAGCCACCATGATCTAAAAATCTGTGTAATTGTTCCTTGAGTATAGGGTATGCCAAATATCCCCATAAAGTAGTGCCATACTGGCCAGACCATTGGAAAGTTCACTAATACATGATTTTGAGAATCATTGAACTTCTTGCACAATGGGCATCTAGAAGGATTCAACACCATATTAAATCTGCCAAGATTATCAGTGAATGGTAGAATTCCTTATAACACCTTCCATTGAAAGATTTTAATCTTTAATTCCTGTCTAGCATGCCAACTTTGCTGAAAAGCAAATGTAGCATGGGATTGGTCTCTCACTTCTTCAAAAGCTGACTTAAAAGTGAATTGAACATTTTCCTCTTGATTCCAGGTAACAAGACCAGTGGGGTTGACAGTGCAAAGGGAGGAAGCATACTCATCAATTGAACAAATCCTTCTCCAAACAGCTGAATCATAAACTTTAGGTATCATATCCCCTTCTCTATTATACCTTGTTCTAATAAAATCTACCCAAATAGAATTGCCTGTCTTCCACTTCCACCAGAGTTTAATGGTGTATGCCTTCTCCATATCATATAAGGACCTAATCCCCAAACCCCCTTCACTGGCAGGATGACAAAGTCTTGACCATCTAATCCAATGATGCTTCTTTTTGGAATCAGATGATCCCCAAAAAAATGCAGCCATTTTACTATTAAGCACAGTAATGACTTTCTTAGGTAGATTATCCACAACAAGAACATGTAAAGGTATAGAGTTAAGAACATGCTTAATAAGACTTAATCTACCCCCTGTGAAAGGTTTTTCTGTTTCCAAGGAGTAAGCTTACTCTCAAAACTCTTGATCAGTTGTCCACAGTATTGAAATCTATTCACTCCTTTGTGCAGATTTCCACCCAGATATCTCATAGGTAGAGAAGACATCCTCATACCTAACAAATTTTTAATATTAACCTGCCTAAACCTTGTTGTTTTTCCACAGATGAAAGAACTTTTCTCAAGGTTCACTGATTGTCCAGAGGCCTCCTGGTAGAATTCAAGAAAGTGCTTAAAGTTCATCAAAGATCTGGCATCTCCATTGAGAAAGTCCAAAAGGTCATCTGCAAATCCCAGGTGTGAAAAGGAGTATCCAAACTTGCCCATCCAGTAAGGCTTAATACTGCCATTATTAACATGCCAATTGAGGCCCCTAGAGAAACCTTCTGATGCAATAATAAATAGGAAAGGAGAGAGTGGGTCACCCTGCTTGACCCCTCTAGTTGGTTTAATGAAACCAAAAGGTCGACCATTAATCATAATAGATAAGAAAGTAGATTTGAGATTATTGATAACTAATTGTATGAAATGATCTAAAAATTCAAATCTTTTAAGAACATCTGAGAGATAGTCCCAAGATAACTTGTCAAAGGCTTTTTCCATATCCAATTTAATGACCATATTAGTTCCTCTGACCTTCTTCTCAATATTATGAATCATTTCCTGAGCTATGAGGATTTGATCTGCCATATCTCTAGATGCCATAAACCCAGCTTGTTCTTTAGAAATAATTTTAGGCAAAATATCACTGAGTCTAGAAGCCAAAATCTTGGTGCAAACCTTGCAAACAAAATTAGATAAACATATAGGCCTAAACTCAGAGAGGCAAGAAGGGTTAAGTGACTTAGGAATCAACACAATAAGAGAGCTAGAGAATCCTTTAGGAATAGGAAGACCAAGGAAAAATTCTTAAACAGCTTTGATGACATCCATTCCAACTATCTCCCAAAATTTTTTAAAAAATTTTCCATTATAACCATCTGGACCAGGAGCACTATTTTGATTAAGTTCCCAAACAGCCTGTTTAACCTCCTCATGACTGGGAATCTTAGTAAGATTTGTATTGTCCTCCTGACTAACCAACTGTGGAATATGATTCAGGATTTCTATAAGGAATAATTGTAATTAGATTTTGATGATGCTATATTAATTAGGAATTTAGAGTATCCCCTCTTTAGATTCAATGTATTAGAAGTTTTCCTTGTAAAGTTCTTTAGAATAGTCGACTGACAGAAGACCTCTAGACAGAAGCCCGTTTGGCCCTTTGATGATAGTTTCTTGACAGAAGTCCTTCTGACTCTCTGTTGGACTCCACTATGACAGAAGCCCTTAGGTCCTCTGTTGGCCTCTCTCTTGACAGAAGGACTGAAGACCCTCTGGTGACTGACATTTCAACAGAAGTGCTCGAGACCTTCTCTGAGAGACTTTCTGCTGAAGACACCAGAAGGCCTGACACTTGGAGAATTTTCTTGATACTACTTCCACCGGTGAAACCAACGAAAGATTCCTTCAACGGCTAGAAGACTTCAACGGAAAAGCTACAATACGCGCATTAAATGTGCATTTAATGTCTCCCGTACTCTATAGAGTAAATGCAGATGATTGGCCGCAATGTCAGGATAGCTTTATCCCAAAATGGTAACCCGCCAACTTTGCTGGGTCCTACTGGTCAAGTCAACTGTTCGCACATTTAATGCAGTTGTCCTCCTTCTCTTCCAACGGGAAGACAACCCCAGTATAAAAGATACACTACGAAGAACAACCGGATAACTTGCTACAATAGTGCGAATACAAAAAACATTCAAACACTAAAAACGCATAAGCCTCCTTGAGATTAAATCTTCATCATCTTCTACAAGAGAAGGCAGACGTTGGAAGGATTCTTACTTCCAACTCAAGCAAAGTTCTATTCGTTCTTCAACACTTCAAGCACTTCATCTACAAATCTTTTGTAACGAAGCAAGTTGCAGGAACCCCTGTTTCAACAGAAACTCTTCTTTCACAAGAAGGACGTCCAAGTACCTGGAGCAGTGAAGTGGTGATACTTCCGGGAAGCTCAGTGAAAGGACCAGTCTTAAAGGAAGCCAGGAAGTGCATCCCAGGACACATCTACACTTGAAGAAGACGTGGAGAGCTTCTTAAGTGATAGGACTAAGGTGTTGTAAACGGGCGTTTTTACAAGCTTAGTGGAACAGTGGATTAGAGGAACAAGTTGTTCCTTGAACCACTATAAAAATCCCTGGTGTCATTTACTTACTGCACTTATTTATCGTTCTTATTTGAACTGTTTAACTCCAAAGACTTGGTCTCTGTGTTCAGCTGAACGTGTCTTGTGAGTTAACAGAAGGCCTACTGCATTTGCTTCTCTGAGGCTAATCTGATAGAACCCCTACCAGAACCCCATCCGCTGCCAGTCTGTTCTGCCAACAGAACAGGCTATTCTGTTAAATCTGGTACTTAGCTTGAGAAAGTTAAAAACCAATACAGTCTATTCACCCCCCTCTAGACTGTATCCAGTACAACCGGGAGCAACAATTTCATTGTGGGCCACATTATTCTGAACAGAATACAAGTTCCTGAAAAAGTCAACTACTGCCTCACCAATCTTAGTAGGAGTGTTAACAGTGTTTCCTTCCAGATCACAGATAGAGGTAATTGATTGCTTCCTATTCCTTATTTTAATAAAGGAATGATAAAACTTGGTGTTACAATCCCCTTCTTTCATCCATTGCATATGGGCCTTCTGTTTCCAGAATTTCCTTTCAATCTTGTATTTTTGTAGCAAAAGACCCCCCTTTTGAGCCAAATATGCCCTAGTTACATCACCAAGTTCATCTTCAAAAGATTTTCAGCCTCAAGAACCGCCTGTTCACAATATTTTATATCCTCAAAGATGTTCCCAAACACATCTTTATTCCCAAAGATTTTCAGCCTCAAGAACCGCCTGTTCAAGCAAATCCTTTTTAAGATTTTGGAGCTTTGAGACCAAACCCCTCATACCCCCACCACCAGAATCATATGACTTCCACTTGTCTTTCACAAAATCCATAAAAGAAGCCTTGGAAAACCACATATTTTGGAATTTAAATGATTTAGGCCCAGAAAAACCTTTATTGGTACATTGAATAAGTAGGGGATTGTGATCAGAAGGTGATCTACTGAGTAATGATATCTGAATATGATCAAAATAATCAATGCAAGTTTGATTGAAAAGGCACCTGTCAAGTCTTCTCCAGACCCTTCCATTTGACCTTACCCCAGTCCAAGTAAAAGTAGGTCCAGAATAAGGCAAATCAATTAGGTCACAAGCTGCAATACAATCTGAAAAATCATTTACTCCTCTCATAACTGACAAAGAATTCCCTTGATGTTCACCATAATTAGAAATTTCATTGAAGTCTCCTCCCAAAATCCAAGGTTCAGTCATATTATTAGAAAAGGTCTTAATAGAGTTCCAGAGCTCTCTTCTAGTGATGTAGCAATGTCTCCCATATATTCCTGTGATCCAACCACTGTAAATGCTGCTTGTAACTTTGAAATGAACAAACTGAGTGTGCCAAAGCACATGACTGATGCATAAGATATTAGAATTCCAGAATACCCATATCTTAGAGGTAGTAGAGAACATAGACTCATTAAAGCCCAATTGAATTTTGTAATGATTTATTTTAGAACTGTACACCATAGGTTCAATAATAACCAAAAGAACAAGCCTCCATTGTTGTACTAGGGAAATAAGCCTCGAACTGGAGGATTCCAGGCCCCTAGCGTTCCAAAATAAGCAATTCATAAGGAGGATGTTTGAACAGCTCCCCTAGCTGCATTCCTAGTAGATCTTTTTAGATCTCTGTAAGTTGTATGTTTTCTCCTTTTCCTAACTACATGTGTAAAACCTTTTTCTTGCTCATCTGGTCTGAGTTTGCTATTTCAGGTTGGTTATCTTCAGGAGCAGAAGGATTAGAAGAAAAATGTCATTCAAGTCTCTGGGCCATTGTATTAACAATGGCAATGATTTCTGATTCTAATCCTTGAATTCCATCTACTGGAATGGTTTTAGAATGTTACCCTTCTGAGTGATAATCCTTGTTTTGTAAAACAGGATCATTGTCTAGCTGCTGATGAAGACTGAAGATATGAAAATCATCCTTAACCATAGTGAGATCCTTGGGAGATGAAATAGAAAGGCCAGGAACATCCTTCTGGAGCAAAGAATGAATGGCTGCTTTTTCCTCCACAGTAGCCTGAACCAAGGGATCCAAGAATAATTCTTCCACATCAGAATCATCATGTATTTGTTCATCCTTATTTGTTGATGTAGATTGCTTATCATTTCCTGGGGCATCTTTAACTTTAGCTTTGCCTTTTTCTGCCGCTGTAAATTTCCTTCCATGTGTATCTTCCTTGATGTTATTACTTTTCTGTACCCATCTCTCTTTAGGTAAACCCAGCATTTTAGGCTGATCCTGTATAGCCTTCTTGGGACATTTATGATGAGAATGACCCAAGTGTAGGCATGAAGTGCAGTATTCTGGTCAGTTTTCAAAAATGATATTTTGTGAAAACCATAAGAACCACAACCTATCCAAATCTTCTGAGGCATATCCTTAGTTAAGTCTAACTCCACATAGACCCTAGCAACCGTTGGCCTAGATAGATTCGCTGTAGCTGAGTCTATTTTTAAAGGCTTCCCAATCAAACTTGCAATTTCCAACAAAGCTCTTTTATCCTGTAAATGAATCGGAAGACATTCCAATGCAATCCAAACTGGGACCAACGGTGATTCCACATTAGGACGGAATTCCGGGGTCCATTTTGTAACACGCATAACATGTCCTTGAATTATCCATGTCTGTCTAGTCCAGCAACGCAAGAAGTCCTCCTCCAATGTAAATTGAATGAGAGCATGCTTATTATCCAAAACACCAAGATGAAATGATCCTTTAAAACCAATACTCTCAAACGATTTGCGAAGCACAGAAAGAGATGGTTTGCCTTTGAAAAAGTATCCGATTAAATCCTTATTATGCTTTCCAGCAAGAACTTTGATATCTTCCTCAGAAAATGAGATCGCAGGCATTCCCTTGAAACGCGATTGCTTAGCACAAAGATGAGATCCTTCGACCACTTCTGCGAACGATTTCCGCGTCCAAGGGTTGGGTGGCGGCGGTGGATCCACCGCCGGGAATGAAGACGCCGTCATCTCCAAGGGTTTTTTCTATTATAAGCTCTAATTAAATCTTCTACATTGAAAAGAACGACTATAACCAAATCAAGACCTTTCAGTTTTCGATATAAAATCAAGTGGTTTAAATGCAGTGGAATCTATACATCTAGGAATGAGAAGAGTCGTCCACA